CTCCACATTTTGATATTGAGATAAGTTAGTTTTAATAATTCCTCTAGCTATGTGCTATTAAACAATTTTGCAGTGATAATTTTATTGAAAATTGAGAAAAGAAATGTAAATATTAACCTATAGTTATTTTATAAGAGTAGATATTATTACAAAAATTCCTGTGGTTATCCGATTTTCAGAAAACTTATTGATTTTTATTAAAATGACCAAAAATGTTTTTGGGCGCCTCCTATAGAATGGTAACCGCAAATGCTTTTTTTAAGTTTTACCAAAGGTGAGCAGTTTAGGGCTTAAATATTATTTATTTATTGATTTTTCTTTACACTAATCAAATAACATTGCATTTCACAACTCCAGAATTGGGGGGAAACTGTGATAAAGGAGGTAGGGATGACCTTATTGTACTTAAAGAACTACAACACTAAAGTGCTTTTAGATGGTGGCGGAGGGGTGAAGACGCAGGAGGTAAAAAGTCTAAAATTTGGAAAAGAAACTAACGTAGTCTAACCTTTGGTCAAATATATATCTAGAAGGTAAATTTTCTGAAACATTTACGCAGGGTTCATGTNGCATAATTTTTAAAGAATCATATCAAAATTGAGATTATTACAAGTTACATAATAAATTCTACTATTTCGACGGCAAATTTAATCATTAACAATCAAAGATTGTCATTTTTGCGTTGTCATAAAAATTTTGTTGTCTCCGTGTATGTCGTGTAGTTTATAATCAATCTCGTGAGATTGTAAACTGTCAAAAAATTGTAAACTCTACCATAAAGCTTATAATATAATTTAATTTTCGATAGTCCCTGATTGGTCGGTCTTGGCGGTAGCTCTTTCTCTATCCATGGAGTTAAAAAACAAACAGGAATTATACAAAAAAGTCAATCATTTAATTGCTAATCAAGTATGTCAATCAATATAATTTTTTAATAAACAATATTAATAATCAAAAACTACGTTACGCACAGTGAGAAAATAAAAATCAAAACATAAAGGAATAGAATACAAAACAAAATATTCAGTTATTGTTACAATTGTTTAAAAATGTCACAAAACCACAAAAGCATCTGTTTGTTTACGTTAGGCAATTAACGAACGACAACCAAAGATGGCAACCAATCAGCGCGCAAGGTGCGCTCCGTCGCATTCAACTGTGATGTCAGTTAACAATGGACGGTTTGACATGGATAGTTTATAAACTATCCAAAATTAATACGTTGTATTATAAGCAGCATAGTACAGTTCACAATTTATCGATAGTTTACAATCTCGCAAGATAGATTATAAACTAACGGTGACATCTATGTACATCGTATACATGAGGTACTATAAAAAATAGTCAGTTCAGTTTTAGAATTATTCTACCTCTTATAAAACCCAAAGACAATTTATGTAATAAAAGGAAAATATAAACACGTAATTGTCATTTGATTTTAAAAATATATATCTTCAAATGACGAAGAAAAGATTTCTACATTAAGAATATTACTTCAGATTGACCTATCTATTTTTTAATAGCCAATATTGTTTCGTATTGTTCTGATTGAATAGTTTACTTTCTAAACGTCACTTTTGTCGAGAGTATATTATTTGAAAACCACCACGCCAACAAAAATATAAAATTAATGTTTAGTAAAAAACTAGTTTAATATATGTATAAGTTCTAGAACGAACAAACAAAAGAATAAAAAATGCAACATCGCAACATTGGCGTCCATCGTCCAATTAAAATTTCTAAGTGCGGCATTCATTTGCCATAAAGAATAAGCCGCCTTATATTGCCGCCTCCTGTTACGAATGCGCTGAAAGTAAGAATCCAATTACATTCAAGTAAAAGGAACAACGACAGTCCTTCTGCCGGTGCCGCTGTCGCTGATTCATTACCGTCAGCGACCAGTTCAGTTCCTGAAAATACACGACCGACTTTTTTCCTTTTTCTTTTTCGCGGAAACACGGTGGTGTTTGACGATACGACGCGCCATGTCGATAATGGCCGATTTTGAACTTTAAAGATTTATTATTGACGGACGGTGCAGTCGAAAGCAGGTGTGTCCAGGATTCTTTAACTATGACACTACGAGTGATCAAGTGGATGCAGTAGTCGTTTCAAATGAACAATTAATCATTAATTCATACTGCCCTCTTAACAGATTAGAAGAAATCATTGTCAATAATATAATAATAATCATAATATTAATAAGTGAACAGCGCAATTTGTGCTATTTATTATAAAAGGAGTTTTTGTGTCATTTTTTGAGTACCCAATGCTTATTTTGAAATATCGATGTCTTGCGGCAATTCTAAAGCTACATTGCGCTACAAATACCCCAGACTAACTACTCCATCTGTCAAAAATTTTAAAAATGAGAAATTTTATATTACAACGAAGTGTGCTGTCCATCATAAACGCCTTAGCGGTTTTGTCAATTTATTTACATAGAAATACTGAAGTTGTAAGTACGGTTGCACCCGCACTTTATTACAAAGTACTGTACTCTATTTCGACTGTGCGTACGTTATATTTTACAAGACACATAAAGTACGCAAAAATACTTTATTTAAGTCCTTAAGTAAACATCGAAATTTTGTAAGCGATCATTCGAAATTCAGAGTATTTTTACATCAATAATATTACACAATACAATATTTTTATGAATGTTTCTATGTTTCTGAACGCTAGTTTCATTGACAAAGTCATATTTACGGAACAACCTGATTTCCCAAATCTGTTCAAAGTAGTGTCACTTTTGCTGTCCGTTCCGGCCACTTCAGCATTTACAGAAAGAGTATTCTCTGTTATGAACGCAAAGTGGTGGGACGACAGGAATAAAGCTTCATTAAAACTAATTAAAATGAACTTTTAGTTTACTTAAATCTTTGTTTGCCATGTTTAGAGGCTATTAATGTATTTAAGAGCGACAGCAATTTGTTACTGGCTGCTAGGTGTAACAAAAAATATGTTTTTAAAAACAAAAAATAAAATACTTTATTTTTATGCTGAGTACTTTTTTTTTAACCTTTTAGTCGAGAAATACTTTATGTAAAGCCTGAAAAGGTGGCAAACCTAGTTCTAAAGCAATTCTGAGACCACATTCGGGCTTATCGTCACAAATCAAACAAAAATGGTTAGCCCTTAGTTTTTTTTGTATTATACCTACGAATCTTGTATAGATTTAGAATCCCTTAGATTTAGTCCCTATTATCCATATTATCTACTTTTCATTGGATTCCGCCCTATACAGATTGAGTGCATTCAATTGAAACATCTTCTTTACTTCGAGATAATACGAAAATGCTAGCAAAAATAATAACGGTTACCACCCTTTCGAAAATTTTTAATAAAAAATATTAAAAGATGAAAGTACTTTAAGTATTACCTAGTACAACAATAGAGAAAGTTAGATGAAGTTTGTTACTGGTGTAAGTGGACGTAAAGTAAGGGACCCGCCCCTCATTGTGGGTAATTACAGGTTGCCCGACAGCAAGCACTAATGGAACGCAATTACGCTACCGTAAATTATAATTAATCGTCTGCTGTTTGCTTTCTTGCTGCATGCTTATTGCATCAAGTGCGCGCAGACCATTTGCCACTAAAGTTTTTCAGACGCGCATTCACTTTGTTCGTTCGCATTGTATATTCGCGACCAGTCGCACTGTGTTATTACCGAGTCTGGCGACTGTATTACCTCAAATTATCTCAAGAAAAATGGATAGAAAGAAGAACAAAAAAGAAGATAAACCAACACACTTGATTATTTTTGTTATTGCTCGTCTTGTGCGGAATATTTGAAAATTGCTTCTACAACAAATTACAAAACAAAACGATTGAAAGAGCTAAACGAAAAAGTAACAACCGGCATAACAGAAAAGTGATTTTCTGTAACGCACCTTTACAAGGCGTGGCGAAAAGTACAATTATGGTCAAATATCTATATCTAAATGTATGTGTAATTGACCAAAATAGATTTACAGTAGTGTACACACACACAACTGTGCACTATGTTACCAGCGTACATAATGAAACTCATCATCATAAGGTCGTCAGTCCTAAGACTGGTTGGACACGTACCTCCACTCTTTCCTATCCTGAGCTAACCTTCGCATCCCACAAAACTAGAACAACCTTCGTCCTTAACTATTTGCAAACAGTAATCTAATCTACTCCTTCCGTCCTGATTTATCTGATTTCCTAGATACCTAAAATTAGCCACTTCTTCTAATTCTTCGTCTCCTATCTTTCTATTGGCTCTTTTCCTACTTTTTTTCCCTTGCATACTAGTATTTTTGTTTTACTTTTGTTTATTTTCATACAGTACTGTTTTGTTAATATCGCTTCCATTTTATTTAAAACTACCTCTAACTCGTCCTTGCTAGATGCTAATACTGCTATATCACTTGCAAATCTAAGCATACTAATTAATCAATACTAATGGTCAAACTAACATTTATTAATGGTAATCAATGTTCAACGCCTTAAAAATCCATGTCGCTGTTGGGATACTAGTACAAATTTCCAGACTTATTAGCCTGAGAGTTATAATGTGTTCTAACATCTAAATTTTTCAACAATAAAAAATGCGGAAAATATTAAATTTAATAAAGTAAAATTGAGTGTTGTGGATCTGAACTAGATCATTCTTTAATAAGTGTAGGTAATAGAGTCGAAAATATAATTTTTGAACGTTTTAAGTTACTAGTTCTACTTTTAATCAGCCATGAATAGATTCTTAGATAAATAATAGATACTGGCGGCCATTACTTTGAATAAACTTTTTAAAATATTCTCATAAACAAATTGTAATTATAATAATAGTGTTTCTTATTACTGTAAACAATAGACTTTTTACGTCAACAAAAGAAATTGTTGGCATCAAAACCACCTTAAGATATTCATTTATCGTTTTTCCATTTGGGGTAGATTTTCACCCCGCAATGTTGCTTGTGTAAAAATTATATTAAAAATGTCAAATTGATAAAAAGAAATTTAAGACTTACCGAATGTTGCTGATGAATCTCGTGCGCTGGCTTGGATGCATTTTCTGATTTTCTTCACAATGTCGCATTCCCCGCATTGGTAAATTTCTGAAAATTTAAAATTAACAGTTAATTTACTGTAACAATTAATATACTTAATTGGTAAACGTTGGATAGAACAAAGTTATGCACAAAAAATTGGTCGTACCAAACTACACAACGGCCTAATTGGGGTTAACTCTATGGAAAATATGAATATATTTTCACAGGCGTTTATATTAACATTATTAAATATTTTGTTGTGCAAATTAAACATAAGTATTATATTAAGTTGTATATTCGAGTTTATTAAATTTCTACCGGATGAAGTAATTCTAATACCAGAGAAAAAAAACACCAGCTATAATCATTTAATAAGCATAACAAATCTACCTGGATACAACAGGTATAATTGAGAGTTTATTGGAATAAATCGTTTATCCTAATTTGTGTTATTTATTGATTACTATACTAAATTATATTTTGTTTCGGTATAATTCTTGCCTTTGTTTTTTTTTTCGTGAACAAGAATACGTCAATATCGATAAACTGCCACAATTTCTGTCGCTTGTTGGTGAGTATTGTAGGTTTAAATTAACAATAACTTATTATTAGTATGATTTTGTCACCTTGCAGACTTTTAGCATTTATATAGATTTGTGTCAATGGTTTCAAAGCAACCTGTTCGTAGAAATCCGTCAACCAAGAATTAAAATTTTATTTGTTTAGTGTTTAAACTTTTATAACGGGACTAAATGTGGTTTGGAACGTCGGTGAGGGTGGTATGTAATGACCATCCCGCCCTAACCAAAACATGAACCAGTAACTGTAGTAGTTTTTTTCCGGATCCTTCATCGAGTACCCGGCTATCTGACACCCGGAAAAATTACTATTCACTGCATCTCTACATAAACCTATAACTAACACATCTTATAGGTAAAGCTGGTTAGTTTATGGTGGGTAAAATTTTCCCCCCTAACCCCTACGATATTCGACTACCTGAAATTTTTTCTTTAATAAGCGCGCGTAATGGTATAAGTTTTACCGAGCGGCATGGCCTAGAGGTCTAGACCATTGCTTAGCATTCGGGAGGACGCCGGTTCGATTCCGGGTTCGTCTGCCTTGGTCCAAGTTTTTCTGTGGTTTCCTTGGATCACTTAGGCAAATGCTGAGGCAGTAATATTCCATAGATTATCTTTCACTCTCTTCTGTCTTCATTTCGCCCGTCTCAACTTTCTCACCCACCCATTCCCACGATTCCTGAAAGCAGGCTGAAGACGGCCTTCCGCCCTACCTTCCGGAATAGTCCGGAGGGACTGCCCGCCCACCAGCATTACTGGCTGGTGGGAATGAAACACCCAAAAGTTTTTTTTTTTTTTAGTATAAGTTTAGTTCAGTCGGAAGTTACGCGACAGGAAAACACCCTTCTTAATTACCCTTTTCCTGCCATATTTAGTCCATTGTTAATATGTAAAAAATAACTAAATAAAAGAATTTATTATTCTTACCTTCTTTTTTCTTTTCTTGGAGGAGGAAATTTTGTCAAGCACTGCCGTTTACCATGAGGCATGTTCGGTCAAAACCAGATGAACAAAAATAAGAATAAGATTGGTTATTAGGTAAAATACATTTATATTCAAAACATGTTGAGTTTAAGAAAAATCGACAATTTAATTAATTAAATTTGTTTAATGGTTTTTTCTGCTTGTCAGTTAATTTTAGAATTTGATTTGATACTACCCGAGGTTAATAAATTCTACAAATCAGATATTTTTTCGAAAACATAAAATTAATAAATATTTAATTTTTCGTACCTTTAAAAATTAGTTGGTGTGATTTTCAGCAGTTTGTAAATTAACGAATCAACGTATTGTTGTCATCATTATAACCATTTGTTGTCTATTGAACTCCTGAATTTTTTGAAATTTAAACGAAGTCTTGTTCCCTGGAGGTAGAATCTCTTGTAAAAAGTATTCTAACATCAAACCTGCTTTTTAAAAATAATGCAGTACATCAGTAAAATGTTTCAAGAGAACAAAGGCTTACAAAAACTATTGTAGGTACACGACGAACCTGTTTACTTTTACATTTAGTACAAGGTGTGACAGGTACGATACATCACATTAATAAAAATTACAAACAAGTTATACGAAATTACACGGGGCGAGTATCTACACGGAAAGAATTAAAAACGAAAATTTACCTAAATATTAAAATGATATTTACATTTGATCCCACTAGTCTGTTGCTTCGTAAGTGAAAATAATAAAAATGACTATTTGGACCCGAATTTGTAAAAAAATTTACTAGGTATTTTAGTTGATATTATAAATTTAATTGTAATAATTAAGAAACGAAATTATTATGTCAAAATTGAGATTATTACAAGTTACATAATAAATTCTACTATTTCGACGGCAAATTTAATCATTAACAATCAAAGATTGTCATTTTTGCGTTGTCATAAAAATTTTGTTGTCTCCGTGTATGTCGTGTAGTTTATAATCAATCTCGTGAGATTGTAAACTGTCAAAAAATTGTAAACTCTACCATAAAGCTTATAATATAATTTAATTTTCGATAGTCCCTGATTGGTCGGTCTTGGCGGTAGCTCTTTCTCTATCCATGGAGTTAAAAAACAAACAGGAATTATACAAAAAAGTCAATCATTTAATTGCTAATCAAGTATGTCAATCAATATAATTTTTTAATAAACAATATTAATAATCAAAAACTACGTTACGCACAGTGAGAAAATAAAAATCAAAACATAAAGGAATAGAATACAAAACAAAATATTCAGTTATTGTTACAATTGTTTAAAAATGTCACAAAACCACAAAAGCATCTGTTTGTTTACGTTAGGCAATTAACGAACGACAACCAAAGATGGCAACCAATCAGCGCGCAAGGTGCGCTCCGTCGCATTCAACTGTGATGTCAGTTAACAATGGACGGTTTGACATGGATAGTTTATAAACTATCCAAAATTAATACGTTGTATTATAAGCAGCATAGTACAGTTCACAATTTATCGATAGTTTACAATCTCGCAAGATAGATTATAAACTAACGGTGACATCTATGTACATCGTATACCATATTTGAAGACGAATCAAAATTCAGTATTTTTTAACTAAAAGTGCCTAGTTATATTTATAATCAAATAATATGAACCAATAAAGCATAATTGAATTTTCTCGATAAAATAAGTTATTGCGAATACTATTTGATCTATGAGGCTCAAATTTGACAGGTGTTTTAGGTAGGAAACGTCAACTGAGAGCGAATTTATTGATAGGGCCAAATTAAGAGGGTATAAAGGCTGCTACAAACATAAAGATACGTTATTCTGGTACACTGTGTATTGCATAAAGGGCTTAGGTTAGGTTAGGTTAGATTAGAGTAGGTTGGACAGGAATGGTTTCAAGCGCTAGGTACCATTGACAAAAGTACCAATCGTTTACATATTAGTAATCTATAAAATGTTCTTACTTGAATGTTTATACTTACATGATTAACGGCAAAATTATTTATCTTACTTTTAATAAAATTCAGAAAAGGATAACAAGATCTGTATGTTCTTCGCAACGGTATGCCATGCCTAATTTTGTAGTCATCTCAAACTATGTGCTCGATCCTTAACAGGAATCCCTATCAACAATTTTTTACATTTCTATTCGCTGTGGACTAAAATAATGAAACGTTTATATTAGACATTTACCTCATTTCAACATAAACCAAAAAGCGCACTGTCGCATTCTTTTAATTTTAACGCCAATGACCAGATATATAAATTTAACAAATTTATAGATTTTATACCGCCAGCGTCTAGTTTTCAAGAGTTTTTACTTAATTTACTGTTGTTTTTGAATACATCCTATAAATTTTATATGTCTTGCATGATTTATGTCATTATTATAGTAAATACCTAATTTTGATTACTTATCGCCTATCTTATTAAGTATTAGCTAACTTTTCCTAAGTTTATTTTGCAATATTTTTATAGGTACTGTATTTTTTAACTTGCACTATGAATTATTAAAAACTGTTTAGAATATAAAGAACGCTGAAAAAACATTAAAAAAGCTGAACAGAACTTGCAATTTTGAGGTTACCAATTTTCTTTGTGGCTATTTTTCTTAGACACATGATATAATATTTTTTATGGCTTTAGTATATACTGACCGCATTTAAAACGACATAATATACGATATTGTGTATTCAAGACGTGCTTTAACAATTTATTAATTAACAATTAATCTAAATTATTTCTATTATTCAATTGTTATTAAAAATCAACTAACTCCAAAACAGCAAAAATACAATAAATAATGTTCAAATAACGTAAATATCAAAAATCTTGGTATTCCGAAGCTTAAAAAATGTTATTTAATGAGAAAAATGACTGCAAATATTTCACCGGCAGCTTTCCACAATCACTAGAGTGTTTATTGTAAGGTTAATAATTCATAATTAACTTACCATTTAACTCTTGTTTTCTGAATAATATTCCTCAATCAAATGTAAATTTCGTATTCTTGAAACTACTTTTATTATCACAGAATCATGTGCAGTAATAAAACGAGATTGCACTCATTATTTTATCAGATAAATTGCAGTTATATATGTACTTATACCTGCTTAATAGTAACACACTAGACAATAGTGACCGACGAGATGGAATGTGCGAGATCGGTGGAAATCGGGAAGGCCGAACTCTTATCTGACTTACGAAAGCAAAACTGTATAAACAAGCTATCGTGGCAGATCTCATTGACATAGAATAAATAAAATTGTTACACTTTGACATAATCTTTAAAGCGAATTCAGTTGAATGAATCAGTAATAAACTGATGTTTTATTACTCCCAAATAACCGATGATGAGTTACATTTACAAATTAAAATAAAAATATATTGCAAAATATACGCGTTGTTAGCAATTGTATTGGTAAATTAGAAGTTATATGATAGGTGTATAAAAAAAAATATTTAACCACATGGTGGTTACTTAGAGTACCTAAGTATCTAACTTTTGATGATTTTAATTAGTCTGCTTGAATGCAACAAAATTGAGATTTTATCATTCGGAAATTTACAAAAACAACAAAAATAATAGAAATAAAGAGAAATAAGTAAAATACATAGGCTGTACTGAATGTAACGCCATTGTGGACCTAATTTTCTTACGAATTGATATAATTTCATACAAAATAATTAAATGAGAGTAATCTTTCTCTCATACAAAAGTTAATAGGATTTGAAATTGAACTTTAAAGCGGGGATTACCTATAGTTATATTCTGTTTCAGTGACCACCATTACAAAATTATCAAAATGTACTACTTTCAACATTTTTTTTTTCAAAAATTTTTATTATATCTGTATTCTTGGTAAGGAATTTCATATTTTTCTAATAATCGAAATGATTTATTTTGTCGATTCGGCAAAGAATAATTTAAGATTTAAGTACATATAAGAATAATAAAACATCTGTACGCTATTGATTTGCCTAATAACCGATGCTTAGAAATATAATTGGGATTTAGTTGGAGCCTAAAACGGTCAAACTTTAGTGAAATTCAAAATTAAAATTTCCGCACCTATATTATCCTAACGCCCTTTATTTCTTAAAACATTTTCTTACTATGAGTAAATTTATATTAGATTACTATTAATAGAACAAGAAGTAATGAAAATAATGCTGCTATAACGTTTAAGAATATCATTCGTAAAATGAATATTATCAAAATGTATTAAATAATAACCCTTGTTTTTCTTCAAATAAAGTGTGTAAAATTTATAAATGGAACATAATACAAAATAAGAAATTAAAAAGATATTAATAATAGACAATCGTAATTACGTAATATTCCTCTTCACCAAACCTTCGTTATTCATTTTCTTTTGTTACTATTTTTCTTGAAATATATTTGAGAGTGACTTTCATAGTTATTATTGACTATTCAATATTTCAACGATTTACCTAATTAGATTATTGTCAGGAAAATTAAAGCATTCTTTAAAGTAAATGTTTGGATACATGACACCTATTATATGTATGTACATGTACCGATCACTTTACTGGTATAAAGTCCAAATAAGGAACTGCCTAGTAGATAAGACGAATTTTTGGGCCTTATACTAATAGTATTACGAAATATTAGTGTAGTAATAAAATTTCATTAGTATAAGGACCGAATAAGAATTACTCAGATGATATGAGGTAAATTTTTGGAGTTCTTTATTTAGGCCTTATAAACTCCAAAAACTTACCTCAACAAGGGATAGCCTCTAATTTTTCCAATGATAATATAATTCAGAATTGTTCAGGCTGAGCCTATTCCGACTATCCTTATGAGGAACCGTTTGCTTCTCCTAATTTTGGAAAACCGTATTACGATCTAATTCGCTTTAGGGTATAACTGACTATAAACCAAGAAAATTTCTAGTCGGGTTGTGGGTATTGGTTTTTTCTTTTTTTTCTGGTAGAATTATTACCTGGTGTCATTATTCGGTAACCGGCGGGATCCTAAAAAAGGAGCCGGATCCGTCGAGTACCGGATCCAGACCGAGTAGTCGACCCATCTCTAGTAGCTACGCAGATATACACATATCAAATAAAGACCCATTGGCGTTATGTAATTTGGTGGCATTTGTTTATGATCATAATGACGGTCCACCTATAAATGTTTTCAATTAAGTAATT